GAGCATGCTCTATATATCAAGATCAAAGATGAAGATATTTTGATCGTGTGCCTCTACGTGGACGATTTGATCTTCACTGGAAGCAACCCAAGCATGTTTAATGAATTCAAGGATGTGATGATGAAAGAATTCGAGATGACAGACATGGGGCTCATGGCGTACTACCTTGGCATTGAAGTTAAGCAACAAAATGATGGAATTTTCATTTCACAGGAAAGCTATGCAAAGGAGATACTGAAGAAGTTCAAGATGGAGAACTGTAAGCCAATAAGCACACCGGCAGAATACGGGATCAAGATGACCAAACATGAAGAAGGCGAAAGTGTAGATCCAACATTCTTCAAAAGTTTGGTAGGAAGTCTACGCTATCTAACTTGCACGAGACCCGATATTCTTCACGCAGTTGGATTGGTTAGTCGCTACATGGAATCCCCAACAACCACCCATTTTAAAGCCGCAAAGAGAATTCTTCGCTATCTGAAAGGTACAATTGACTTTGGCTTGTTCTATTCAGTTTCTAATGATTACAAGCTTGTTGGATATAGCGACAGTGATTGGGGTGGAGACATAGATAATCGAAGGAGCACTACTGGATTCGTATTTTTCATGGGAGATATTGCATTCACATGGATGTCAAAGAAACAACCGATTGTCACATTATCCACTTGTGAAGCGGAATATGTTGCTGCTACCTCATGTGTTTGTCATGCAATTTGGCTTAGAAATCTATTGAAGGAGATTGGTTTGATACAAGAAGAGCCTACCAAGGTTTGTGTCGACAACAAGTCAGCCATTGCCTTAGCGAAGAATCCAGTATTCCATGATCGAAGCAAGCACATTGATATTCGCTACCACTATATAAGGGAGTGTGTTGCAAGAAAAGATGTGGAAGTTGAATATGTGAAGTCACAAGATCAAGTTGCTGATATTTTTACCAAGCCACTGACCAGCGAAGACTTCTTAAGATTAAGGAACCTACTAGGGGTCACGAGATCAAGTTTAAGGGAGGGTGTTGGATCATAAACTTGATCCATTATGGGAGCCTAAACCCAAACCCAAACTAAATTGATGTCATTACTTACATCATTTAATTAAAGATGTCATTGCTTACATCATTTAATTAATGATGTCATTGCTTACATCAATTTAGTTAGGTGAGAGTTAGATATTTGTTGAATTCGTAATGGTTTAAATTAATTTATTTGTGTGGTGTAGGATTGTTCTTGAGTAGTATAAATACCCCTTCCCATTTTAGTTTTAAGCATCAAGAAAAATTAAGAGCTTCTAAGTGAGTGAAGAAGCAAAGTCTTATAAGAGTGAGTTGTAGTTCTTGTTTTTGAGTGAGAGTACTCTTGTAATATTTGTTTGAGTTTCAATAAAAGTTGTTTGTGTGAGCGTTTTATTTCCAACATTCCAATGGTTCTTGATCTCATTGTCGGTCCTGTTCGACAAGTGAGCTACCATGGCCGACCACCTAAATAAATTCGGACAAACCAAAAAACATGAACATCAAATGTTAATAACAATAAACTAACTAATATAATTACTTGTTTCCGAGAAGGGCATGTAGCTGAATGATGGTTTGTTCTTCCCGTAAACTAAAGTTTCCTCTTTTAATATCAGGTCTTAGGTAATTAATCCACCTCAGTCGACAACTCTTCCCACATCGTTGAAGCCCTGTATACATAAACCAAATCGAAAACCATGCAAATTTTAAACAAGATATTACATAAAGACTGACAAAACGATTACAAGGCTAAAACAATTACCAGCTTTCTGAGGCAAGGCACACCAGTTACCATGGCCATGTTTTTCAATGTAAGCCATTAGTTTTTCGTCTTCTTCAGCCGTCCATGGGCCTCTCTTCAAACCGGCCACCTTCTTGTTGCCATTGTTCAGAGACGACCCTCGCCGCATCTTGGCCGTAAACCGAAGCAAAACGAAATAACAGGCTGCCTGAGAATTGGGATTTGAGTGAATGAATTTTGGTTTTCTTTTACTGAATGGTTAAATGAAGTTATTTGTTGAGAAGAAGAACAAAAAGGACAGAATATGAAAAAGAGAGGAGAATTGGTTGGAAGTGAAGAGTAAAATAGTGGTGGGTGGCGAATATATAAGCGATGATAATCAACTGGAATTGGGATACCCGAAAATTCATGAATGGAGCCTAAATAAATTAGTCCAACTACTTGGTGATACATTGACGACCCCACGTGAATATTGTTTTCGCAATGAATTTTGTTGGATTAACATTATTATTATTTTTTTCTCAATAGTTTACGATTTTATTAAAGATTTAAAAGTACAATCTTGAATTTAAGTTGCATGCCTTATTAAAAAACCCCTAAACGTAAAAGGAGGAAAAGAGTATAACACAACTTATTATTATTAATATAATACATAGCAAGATATGAAATTAAATGTGTTTAAACGCTCAAATTCTCCTATTGTTTTTTATGATAGTTATCTATATGTTTATTATTTATGTTTGTATTTTAGGGAGTTAGTAAAGACTAAGGCTTTGGGTTCTTGAGCATTCAAATTAACCCATTTTTTTAATTGCTAATTAAAGCAACTAACACAAAACACATATACATATAGGCATAATATTATACATTATATATGTATCAATTGACTGTTATAAAAAGATTTTTTTCATTACTTTAGGATGTTTACGTTAATACATGTTCATAGTATTCTTAATTAATTAATAATGAATATTCACTCTGCAGAACAACTATTTAAATTCAAAATATTTATGGAGAATAATATTTATTTTTACTATTTACGTTCGAAATGATCATTAATCATTACATTGAAGTTTGAAAATAATTACCAGTCTGATTCAGAATCACGTTCGAAATGATTAGTCGTTGCATGCATGCATAAACTATGTCGATTCGCAGTGATTGACAAGACAAAACGATCATCGTACTGCACAATATTACAAAATGGTGATACATTACTCTTAACATCCAGCCACTATGGCCACATTATCGGCTATTGTGCAGCTTCCATTTGATGCTTCAACTTCCATTGATGGAAATGAAACTGGAATACCAATCAAAGCATCTGATTCTGATGAGACCTCCTTAAAATCTGCAGCTGCCACGGCCACGTTATCGGTAAACCAGGCATTTTCCGATGCGTACGTTGTCATCTCTTGTGTTAATGCCATGGTCGATAACATAGACTCATCCATCCAGTCTTCTAGTTCTTGCATTTGATTAGTACGTTTCCATTCATCCATGTAAACCGATTCATTGCATGTATATAAATGATCAGTGGCATTGCATTCTACAACGGCTTCGCCAATCTGAGTAAATGCTTAGTCGACAACCTGATCAAGAAGGGCGGTAGCAGAATATGTGGTCGGAGAATCTTTTAGCAGTACCGCAATAACGGGACGCACAGCAACCACATTGCTGTAAGTAAGGTGAGCAACAGTGACACTTTTTACAAAACTTCCATCAAGCTTTGCAGACTGGACGGCGGTGGAGAGCTGTCCCCAGTTGGTTTGATACCCCTTCCTTAAACCATCTGGATATAACATTTTATCAGCTCCACCGGGAACAACCGGTGCCAGTGCAGCTATTTTCTGCTGGATGACTTTGTACGTCGCGCTTCCGAACCCATCTGGAGACAAACTATAAGGGCCGTAGCCACCTTTTTCTCATCAGCTTTAGGCGTGTAATAGTTCAAGTTCTCAATCTTTTGGCGCAGTTCGGCAAATCCCAGTGGGATTTGATCTCTGTCTGCTTTACCCTCGAGGGCATCATAAGTATAACTGCCATTGAATGTAAGATCGGTTCTTGCAATGCCCTGGAAGAAAAGATTTTGTACGGCTACGGGAACATCTGCAAAGAATTAGGACGCTGCTCCGTCTCCTGATCGGTAACCCAAGACTAACGACACGTTTTTGTTGTTTTTCCCCTTGTTGTTAACGAAGAGTTCGACCACAACATATCGATGGAGATCAGTAGGTTTCAAATCGTTGAAGGCAACACCGGTATCCCTTGCGCTGCACTTGCATGGACTGTCAGTGTGTTTCTCAGATCATTAATGAACACATCGTACGTGCGTTTGGTGGCATCCGTAGTGGTGAATCTCACCTTATAAATGGGGGGTTGCTGTGGTTCCACTGCGGATACCCAACAGGCCAACACCTTCATTGCTTGCTCAGTTTCGATCTTTATGGGAATAGACAAACTGCTTTGCTTTCCAAATGGAAGGAGGACAACGCCTTTTTATAGATAATTATTTTACTCCAACACGCGTAAAACTGTGATTGCCTGTTTTTCTAATTAAAATAAATCTTATCTATATGTAGTGGCAATGACACAATGCATTATTTTAGGACTTATCACGTTTATAAAAGCTACTTGCCTTGACAAGACATTAATAAACACGACGGAAGCAATATTTACTTTTAAAGTATATTGTTTTTCACGTTCAATTCGGAGAATTAAATTAAAATTTCAGGGTGAGCATACGTATAATAAGTTGTTTGCACAAAATATATATTTGTGATATTGAACAAGACTGACAAATAATCTACCAGTATAATTGTGATTCCTATTAGACCGATGCTCCTGTCTTATTTTGATCTTGTCTAAAAGGTTTTGACAATCTTTTTTAGACAATTTTCTGATAAAAATGGCCAAGTTTGAAACCAGTAGTAGTCAGAATTATCTCTATCTCACCAGTTGAAACTTTAAACTCTGCGTCTCATATAACCATTGTCTATAACAACATAATGTTGTTGATTCATTGACTTCAACGCTCCTTTTAGCCTCCTTATTTTTCTGAAAAAGAACCTGCATTGGATTACCCTGGATTGGAACCTGCCAAGACTTACTCATAATGTCAGCAGATTCAAAATGAAGAGTCCAAAAACTAAAGAATTTAAGTGGTTTAAGCTTATTTGCAGGAATTTCTTTAGAAAATCAAATCACAGCTGAACGATGATCCGAAGTTTACTTATTTATTTAATTTCAATACATATAAATATCTTTGTATTCTGGGTGCATATGCTCCCACTTTCATGGCTGCCCTTGGAACCAAATCTGACTAGAGCGTTGGGCGCTGTAGTAATTGACAGTAATCTGAGGAAGGGTTGCACTGGTATCTTTCACGTCCATCACATTTTGAGTCACTAGATGCAAAATTGTGCCATCGCTCTGAAATCGCCACCGCTCCTCGACATATCAATCGCACGTTCCCACGGTGACCAAGCTCCCACCCGCATCTCCGACTTATAGACACCCATCTCGGTTCTTCAGTGGCCTGATCGTGTCATCTGGATATATTGCCCACTGTTGTTCGATATCTTGACGCACACATCTCGAGCCACACTTGACTTCCGCTTGCTAGCAAGCACAAACTTTTATAACCAACAATGGTGGTCAGTAATGGCTCCGTGTTATTGCTGGCATACCAAGCTTGATTAGAACTACACCTATCGGTATCGACAACGAGACTAAACATGCCCGAACTATCTTTCCTTGCTGTCAAAACAAGCCCGGATTTGGGATTCAATACGCTTCCATCACTTAGGAATTTCCATTTGGTGGCATCAGAGACGGCCTTGTCACAGTCATAGATCATCACGTAGCTCTCCGAGCTGTATCCGTAAGTGGTCAAGCATTTGCCGCCTGATCGAATCGTGTTATCCTCTGACCTCAATGCCCACAATTGATTGGCCTTGTTCTGTCCACATTCCCATAGGATTATGCTGTTTCCATCGTCGTATCTTCCCTGGTATACATCAACACACATACCATTTCGTCCGGTGATGTACGATGTTGGTGCTACCACTGTTTCACAAGTCTCATCGTCGTCTCCCAAGCCGGAAGCCAAAAGCTGTGGACTATTATTTCTTCTCTTGCATTTGTATGGCATTAGTGCAATCGTGAAAAGAACTTCTCTCAAGGTTCTCAAAAGCACTTGGATTCCATCATACACTAAATGAACTGGTGTTGGGAAGATTCCGTTTGTTGCACTTTGGATGGCGGTGGAGATGCGGCTCCACACGTTTTCGTACTCCGTCATTAAACCATCTGGATAGTACCTTCCGTAAGTTCCATCCTCGAAAGGGTCGCAAACCGTACGTATCTGTTGCTGGAGGTTTCTCAATCGCACAGCTTCCGAAACCATTTGGATGGAAACTAAGAGGGCTCTTTCAAAGATTCCACGATTATCATGCGTAGGTTGGTAGATATTCATGTTCTGAATGTGTTGGCTTAATTCGTCGATTCCCAGAGGTATTTCCCTTCTGTCACCGACTCCTGCAGCAGCTTCAAGTGACCCGTAACGCTCAGTAAACGGAAGGGATTCTCTTTCAGTGCCCGGGAACAAAGCGTTACGTACGTCATCGGGAACGCTGCTGAAAAAGTAGGAACGATTACTTCCACCCGCTTGAAAACCCAAGATATACACGTCGCTGACATTCAAAGCTAATGTGACGGTTTGGTCTCCATTCGATAGTTCCACCAGAACATACTGTCGAGGATCATTAGGCTGCAATGGATCTGGCAACACCGGTATATCTCCGGATCTATCTGCGCGGTCTGTCAACGCATTAAACAGATCCTTCATAAACATCAAATAGGAGTTCCTGGTGGCACCCTTGGTGTTGAATTTCACCTTGATTATGTTTACGACAGTACCCAACATGCTTAATTGACTGTGATCCGTGAAGATGGTGCTCTCGTTTTCTATCCTAGTGATGCCGCTGCGGCGCCGTTGGTCGACAATAGATAACCGACAGGCACAGATTATAGCCAACACTGCAATCCACACCTTCATATTTTGCAGATAAAACACAACTTTCATTTTGAGAACTTTTTTGGAAGCAGAGACCGTGTTTTGGATTTCTAAAAGCTTACAGTACCGGGAGGGAGAGAGAGCCTTTTTATAACAACTTTTGTAAGTAATAAATCAAATTTTCCATGCAATTGCGTGTAGGGGTGATTAATGAGTTAACCTATAACTATAATCGGTCAAAATTCATTAAAATTTTGATTTGGATTAATTAGACTCAAGACCTTAACGAGTTGAGTTAGAGCAAAGTCCAACTCAACTCGATAAGTTCGCGAACAACTCGTTATTTTTTTATACGTTTTTAATAGTTATTTTAAAAAATTATTTCATTCAAAAATTATTAATTTACTAATAGATAATAAAAACATGAAAAATGATTAATCTATTAATTTATAGTATTAGTAGATTTTATCTATAATAATTTTTATAAGATAAAAATTTCAGTGAGCTTATCGAACAACGAGCTAAGCAATGGGCTTAACGAGCATGAGTCGAGCAACAAATTCTTTTAACGAGCAAAGTTTTAATGAGCTTAACGAGCAACAAAATATTTTAACGAGCAAGAGGTCAAGCACTGCCCAACTCACGATCGAATTGTTCGATAATCACCCCTAATTACGTGTACTACGTTACGTATCAGATGATTTCAGACAAGAATGAAAACATTATTCTATGCTCTCTTTGATTTTAAAATTACAATATTTTTTTAAAAATTTTGCGTAAATATGTACATAGCTTGTAGAAGTTTGTTTTTTCTTTAAAACAAATACAAGTCAATTAGGAGCTATTTAAAAAAAGGCGTAACAACCAAATTAAATAATAAAATAAAAAGGTGGCTAACTTGGAAAATTATTCGAACCATTAGTCTCCATGACTATATAAATAATATCAAAATGTTCGTAATTTTTTCTCTTTTTTTTTTATATTTTACAAAATTCACTTAATATTAACAAAAATTCATTCAAATTTTGATTTTTTAACACTCCAATTTCCTATAAATTGACCTCACATCCAAATATTAATAAGAAATTTATTCTTATTTTTATTTTTAATTAAGTCAATCAAGAGCAATTTGAGGAAAAAAACTCCTAAAACCAAATTAACTATTTTTTACTTTGTCAAATTAAGAAATTTAGAGATAAGGTGGTTAACTTAGAACAATATAGGTTTCATTATGCATTTAGTACCTAAACTATCAGTTTTGATCCATTTTAGTACATAAACTTTCAATTTTTTTAAATCATACCTAACATTTAGTTTTTTTTTTCAATTTTAGAATCCATCATTAAAAACTTACGCGTTTAGCACCTAAACTGTCCGCTTTGGTTCGTTTAGTAACTAAATTATCAGTTTTGGTACTAAAATGAAACAAAAAACTAAACTTTAGGTATGATTTTGAAAAAAAACTAAAAGTTTAGATACTAAAACGGACCAAAACTGATATTTTATGTACGCATTATATGGATTTTGATTATAGTTTATCGTATTATAAAAAGAATATAACCATAGTTAGACCATATCTAATGATGACATTATAAAAATAGAGGATCAAATCATAATACAAATCAAAGCATAATGGTTAAATTCTATGTGAAGTAGAGGGACTAAAACCATAGTTAGACCATAGATATTCATGGGACTCTACTTACAAGATAAGGAGCACCAAAAAGCTAAGGTCCATGTTGGGTCAGCATTCGAAACCCACTCGTCATATTTTGCTCCATTACTGTCCAACATTTCCACACATCATCCAAAAACCATGAGCTCCTTCACCAATTCAACATTTTCCATCCATGTCAACCACAACTTCCCCGCACCTCAAAATCACCAGTGCAGCAAGCTCTCCCTTCCCGTAATCCGAGCATCGATTCAACCCGACAAAACAATGCAATCAATATCGGCAACCGGAGAAAACTCGTAACAACGTTTCTTGTTACTTCACTAGCAGCACTAGGACTGCAGGGCATGCCGGTAGCGGTGGCAGAGAATTGGATCACACATTCTTTTCTCAGGGAACGGTTTTTCGAGCCCGATTTGTCACCGGTGGACGCCTCGGTGAGAATCAAACAAACTGCCGAGGGGTTGCATAGCATGCGAGACATGTTGGACACCATGTCGTGGAGGTATGTCATGTTTTATATTAGACTGAAGCAGGCTTATCTTTCCCAGGATTTGAACAATGCCATGAATACATTGCCCCAAGGTCGTAAAGATGTGTATGTCAAAACAGCAAATGAATTGGTGGATAACACGGCCGAGGTACGTACGTTCGTATGATTATGAATCAGTTGAAATGGCAAACGATGATTTCTTAATAATTAATGATTTTTCTCTTTGATTTTCGTAGTTCGATTATTATGTCCGTACACCAGAAGTATACGAATCGTTCTTGTACTACGAGAAGACATAAAAATCCATATATGATCTAGTGGCATTATTGGGGTAGAACCGGTGCCAGCAGTGTTGGTAAAATAACTGCTGCAAAACGAGGCGTTAGCATTGACTGAAAAATATTAAATAAAATAATCAATCAGAATGATAATCGTGTCGTGGTAATCCACTGCCTTAGAAACGAATTCGCCCCGATGTGTGTAATCGTTGCAGTAGGCGGACCGTTCCCTCGAGGTTAACACGGCTCTCCAAGAATTCGTACACCCGAAAACTGGAGTGAACTTTGGTGGTATTGCTCTTCTCTCAACTCAAACAACACTCACTATAGAAGAGTGTTTCAAAGAAAATGTTTTGCTTGGGATGATTAAAATGAATGAATTTGCTCTCTATTTATAGGATAAATAGTGAGGGTAAAATGGTCATTTCCAACACTATATTTCCAATATTTAATTAGAATTTTCCGTGATTATGCTATAACCTAATTTGAGCATTTTCTCATGCTAGTGGAATTTTGAGTATTACCAATACTTTGAGCATTATCAACATTCCCCCACTAATGCGAAAGAATTCTTTCGTAAAGATGAGATCAATGAAGTTAAAACATGAGAAGAGCAATAGCGAGATTAGTTGCTTAAGCACTAGTGAACGTATCTGGAACTAGTACATAGTGATGATGCGCAATCCTTCTCTTAGATAAGTGAAACTAGTCTGGAACTTTCTAAGATTGGGGTAAACTCATAACACACAACTAAACCCTTCATCCACCAAAGTTCTCGAAGTGTTTACAAAGAATATATACAAAAGCGTATATATGTTTAGCCCTCTTTCCTCAGGATTCTAATAAGTGTACTAGAAAAATGGCCCAACGTTTTTCATAGAAGGTGGCTAATTCTTCTCACTTACATAGGTTATTTCATCAAGTTTATCTCAACATAAACCACTCAAACTGAGCTATGAAATAATTAAGAGCTTTTATAATAGCTCAACCTCACAAAGGGTATGGGGACTTTCTTCAAGTTCATTAAAAATGAACCACCCAGACTCTAGGATTAGAAGTCATTAAGAATAAATATTCAACCTCATAATTCGGTTAATTCAATATGCCCTTCTCACTAGGAACCCCCATTCAATATGTCCTTCTCACTAGGAACCTCTTGGGTTTGAATTCATTAAGAGTTTAATAAAACTCATCCTCTCAAGCGGTAAGTTCATCTAGTCCTTCGCGATTAGAACTACCCACTCAACTTTGGGTTATGAACTTATTAAGAATAGATATTCAACCAAAATATGTAAATTCATCAAGTCTTTCTCACTAAGACCACCCAAATCATGGGCTATGAATTTATTAAGAGCAATTAAGCTCATCCTGGGCATGCACATTATTCATCATAAGGATAGGCAGTAGGAATGTGCACTATGAGTCTTTTCATGGTTTCGTTTGACCACATGGAACTTAGATAACTAAGTTGGGTATCCACCATGAATTCCTCAACCAATGGGCTTTAGACCCATCCCCCTCGACGAATCTAGGACCAAGGATCTACTAGGTTCCTTTTCGACTTCACATACTCTAAAGAGAGCACTTCGTTCTTTATTAAGTGTCTAACTGATTCATGCGAATGTGTTTTTTCTTACCATTGTAAGCTTGGTTTTTAGCCACACATATCGCAGCTTGTGAATCACACAATAAAGAAATCTGAGTAGTCGGTCTTCCCCACAACGGAATATCTGCTAACAAGCTTCTGAGTCACTCGGCTTCTTGCCCAGCTAGGTCAAGAGCTATAAACTTTGACTTCATGATAGAACGAGCAACACAAGTATGCTTTGATGATTTCCACGAGATTGCTGCTCCACCTAAAGTAAAATATACCCACTCGTAAAGCTTACCTCATCACTATCAGAAAGCCAGTTGGCATTACAATATCCTTCCAGTACCGCAGGAAAGCCAACAAACTCAAGTTTTGAATCCAAAGTACCCTTAAGATACTTCAGTAAGCATTTAAGAGTAATTCAGTGTTCACCACTTGGATTATGAGTATATCTACTTAGTCTACTCATAGCATAAGCAATATCGGGCCGAGTATAGTTCATTATTAAGCTTCCGATTAATTTAGCATATTCTGTTTGGGAAACGCTACTTCCTTTACTCTTAAAGAGATATATGCTAAGGTCATAAGGGTTCGAACAGGGACGACATCAAAACTGTCAAATTTCTTTAACACTTTCTCAAGATAGTGTGTTTAACTTAAAGAAAATCCCTTTTCAGTTTTGGTAATTTTGACTCCTAAGATTACATTGACTTCTCCTAGATCCATCATCTCAAATTTAGTGGACAAGAAATTGTTTACTTTGTTAATGGACTCAATGTTAGAACTGAAAAATCAAATGTCATCAACATACAAACTTATGATGATGTAATCAGTACCAAACATCCTTGAATACATACAAGCATCTGAACCATTCACAACAAAACCAAAACTAAGTATAGTTTTATAAAATTTCTTGTACCATTGTTCCTATATAGATCTCCTCATCTAGATCTCCATTTAAAAATGCAGTCTCAACATCCATTTGATGTACTTGCAACTTATGAATGGAGACTAGTGCAAATAATGCACGGATCGTTGAGA